ATTGAAGGGGTTAAAGACAGCCTCCTGCATGCACCGATACTGGCACTGCTAGATCCCGATCGTCCTTTTAGCGTCGTCTGTGACGCTTCGGACTTTGCCATAGGCTGTGCACTGCGACTCAGTCGCCCGACCTCTCGCAGAGGATGGCTAGATGGCTATCCTTCTTTGTGAAATATAACTTCGAGGTAAAGTATATGCCGGGAAAGCAGAATGCTTTGGCTGACGCGTTAGCGCGCAGACCAGATTATGAGCTTGCTCATGTTTCAACTGTAACGTCGTCTGTGACAGATTTGATCCGCACTGCGTATGCTAGTGATGAGATGTGTGTAGCGTTGCTACAGGCTCTACGGGCTCTACGGAGCAAGGAGTTTGGAAACTCGGACATGAAATCGTCACAAAGACTGCGCGCACGATTGCGCCAATATTCGTTGAGCAACAAGTTGCCAAGTTGCTATACAATAGCACCGATTCATCGGATACACCACGAATTGTGGTTTCTCATGATGAGGATTTAAAATACCGCATCCTCTATGAGGCGCACGACACGCAAATCAGTGGTAATTTTGGTCGTGAGAAAACGTACAACTCTGTTAGTCACCACTATTGGTGATTCAAGTTGTACAAATGGACGAGCACCTATGTGCGCACGTGTGAGACGTATCAACGGGTAAAACACCCTCCAAATGCGGCTGCGTCACTGGCCAGCTTACCATTACCCACTGGGTGCTGGCAATCTATGCATTGAACTTTGTGTTTGGCTTGCCAAAAGATTAGGCGGGCAACACGGGTGTCGTGGTATTCGTCGACCGATTGAGCAAGGTGGCTCATTTAATGGCGGTGCCAGACACCATCGACGGAGTCGGTACAGCAACGCTGTTCGCGGATCGTATTTTCCGACAACACGGACTCCCAGAGTCGATTGTCTCCGATAGAGACCCCAATTTCACGGGAAAATTTCGGTCGACTATCTTCGAGGTGCTCGGCACCAACTCGAAAATGTCGACAGCGAATTATCTGCAGCCCGAAGGTCAAACCGAAAGGGTGAATCGCGTACGTTCTTCGCAGCGTCTGCGCTGAGACGCCAAAACGCTGATGCGCCATGTTGCCGCTCGTAGAGTTTGCACTAAACAATGCAGTGCATTGGTCTACCGGCTACACTCCGTTCTACGTGATCGGGCTGATTCACCCTCGTGTCCCGCTGACGCCGCCATCCCATGGCTTAGGGCTTGGGGGAGAAATAGCCAACCGGCTAGATGATATCAGCCCTCTTGCCATCCGTAAAGAAGTCGATGACTTCTTGTCTACCAGACTGAGTGTCCTACGACATTTTCGCGATG